TTTTTACTGGCAAGAACATGTAAAATAGAGAAGGAAGGGAGATGGTCTGTGGGAATGCAGAATGTCACCTTTCTACAGTGGTTAGCAATCTATTTTGTTTAGAATATACAGTGAATTATAACGATGGCTGAACTTTTCACCACACACACAAAAAATCGTAACTGTGTGAGGTAGTGGATGTGTTAATGAACCTGATTGTAGTAATCATTTCACAAAGTATATGTATTTCAAATCATCATCTTGTACACTTCAAATATATGTAATTGTATTTGTTAATTATACCTCAGTAAAAACTGAAAAAATCCTGAAGAGTTAAACTTAAATAAATTGATTCATTCTGAAACAAAACTTAAAAATTTTGTAATATTTGTCAATATTAATTCTTGTATAATGATTATAGTATAGAAAACTTTGAATTGAAACTGGAAAAAATACTCTGAATTTGAGGAAGGATAGTTAACAATGGTAAAACATAGTGACTTCTTTTTTTATGACCAAGTACTGAGTTTTCTTGGAGTAAAGCCTTGATTTGAAAATATAACATTTAGAAAATCACTTAAAAATTTTGTCTCAGAGTTTATATTGAGCTTAATGAAAGCTTCTTTAAATACATGCTAGCAAGGTGTCCTTTGAAAATATGGCTGAATGAGTTCATGGTTACCTAACTTTCACCCCTGCTGAATCAGAAGTGATTAAAATTGAAGGAAACTCTTCTGTCATGAAAGTAGAGAACGGCCATACCTCCATATCAGATTCCAAGAACGTCTTCCAATTACAGTGAAATTGGGACTGAAATCCAAGGAGGAGACAAACATATTTTTAAACCTCAAACAGATGCATGTCTCTTAGAGTAAGGGAGATGTGTATTCCTCAGAGGGGACTTTTCAACAGCCACTTTGAAACATAAAGAATGAAGAAATGGGGGAAGCCATTTTTATTAAGGCTGGTTTCCATTTCAGGTTCTTGGCAAATATGTCCCTTCATCATCTTAATGTAGCACAGGAAAAAAGGCATGGGACAGGAAGAGAGAAGAGCACCATGAAAGGAATATCTTTGCAGTCTTGCCCAGAAGAACTTACAAGTTCCTTTCTTCTCTATAGTGCTCTATAACCAGTAATCATAAAGGAAAGCAAGATTTATGTATTTATAAAAGTATAACTTCTACATTTGACTTCACAAAAGCAGAAAACTTGCATATGGTAAAATAAAATTAACAAAAGACAATTTGGAAAAGTGTTTATACCTTATTATGACAAACCTTCCATGTATACAAAGAATACTTATAAACCAGTGAGAAAAAGGTGAACAATAGCCTAAGAATATGAATAGGTAGTTCTGGGAAGAACTATGAGTGGTTAATAAATACAAGATTTTTCTTAGATTGGCATTTAATAAATTTAGTAAGTAGGGGTAATCAGGCACTCCTGTATACTGTTCACGGAAACATTAATTATGGTAACCTTTTGGGAAGGGTATTTTGTCACCTGGTATCTGAGTTTAAATGATTTTCTCAGACTAAGAATTCCGTATAGAATTTATGCCGCAGAAGCCATCCATGAGTAATGTATGTGTGCGCGCACTCATATGCATGTATGTATGAAAGAGTGAGCACAAGAGGCTTCATACACACAGGTGTTCAGTGCAGCATTTGGGTTGTTTCCCATTTTTATCAGTGGTGATTTCTTTAATAAATTTTGGTACATTTCTGTAATAGAATGCTGTGAAGCTGTGAATGAAGTAAAACTATATATATTGACGTGAGAAGATACCTAAGATTATTCAAAGAAGAAAGCAGGTTGCAAAGCAGAATTGAGCAGACTCAAGCCTTAATAAAGTATTCATAAAAATTAAATGTGTACTAATATGTTTGTAAAAGACAAAAGGAATGTATAAGAGCAATATATGCTCAACTGCGTGGTGTCCATATTTTTTTTTTACAGATGCTTCTTTGACAAGACCACTTCATCATCAAACCTCTGCCTGTCCCCATTCTCATGGAAACCCTCCTCCTCAGACTCAGCCTCCACCTCAAGTGGATTATGTTATTCCTCATCCTGTACATGCTTTCCATTCTCAGATATCTTCTCATGCAACATCTCACCCCGTGGCACCCCCACCCCCAACTCATTTAGCCAGTACAGCTGCACCAATCCCTCAGCATCTTCCTCCCACACACCAGCCAATTTCACACCATATTCCAGCCACGGCACCTCCAGCACAGAGACTGCATCCTCATGAAGTGATGCAGAGAATGGAAGTTCAAAGAAGGAGGATGATGCAGCATCCAACGTATGTTTTATGTTTTTTTTAAAGATGATCACTTTGTGTTCCTTTTCCTTCTATTTCTGTGGGTTTTTAAAACTAAAAATCTTGAGAAGTGATGTAACTATACTAAGTCCTCAGTTCACTAGGGAATTCTTTACTAACTGGAATCTTCCTTTGTCTTGTCCTGAGTTGTAGGTGCTTACAAAACAAGTTTATATCAGGTTATTTAAAGAAATCAAACCGTTTTCAGGATATGACCCAGGGTCATTTATTTTTGTAAACCAGTCTCTTGTTCATCAGTTTCTTCAGTATCCCATAGTAGAGATTAATGTTAAAATTGATGATCCTGAGGAACAACATGTAAAGTTGTCAAAGATTTAATATATGTTACCAGCCAGAGAGAAGAAGAATACCAGTAGAATTTTCAACAACTGACATTGAAAAAACAGTCTTCCTCACTTAGTTTATTTATAAACATAAATATTAAAATATACTCTCCAAACATCATGAAAAGACTATAATTGAACTTTCTGAAAATTCACGGTAGCAAACTCTGTTGGTCTAATTTTGCTTGTGTATAGAGTTTTATAGGTAAACAGCTACACTTGTTCATTTCTGTATTGTCTCTGTCTTCTTTCACACCACAAAGACTAAATTGAGTAGTTGAGTAGAGATCATACTGCCGAAAGAGCCAACAATATTTACCATTTAGCCCTTTCCAGAATGTGTTTGCAAAACTCTTTGTTTGCAAAACTCTTGATCTAATTAATGATCTAGCACATGGGTAACTACTTCCTTTAATTATGTAAGGTTATTCCCAGAATCTCTGGCTATTACTGGCATTCTAATATAGTAACTCCTTATATAGAAAGTTGGCAATTTAAAATTCATATCTTCCAGTATCTAGAAAATTACTTGTTTTAAATCATTAAGCTTAAACATGCAAAATCTGTAAATACATGAGAAACTGATAGAAACTAGGGATTAGACTATAAAAATGAATCCCTGGAATAGTTTTGTTTTTTTAAGTGCCACTTGTTTAGAACTTTATGACTATTTATATTTATAAATTTGGCTGACTTTAGACTAAAAAGAGAAAATATAATAATCTGGGATGCAGAATAAAGAATGTGAATGGAGCTAATATCCGTTTCCCAGATATGTTAACATGTACTTGCATGTGTTTGAAAAAAATGCACAAGGTTAAAAGTGTTTTCTCTTAAAATAAGTTTTATCCATTAAAATGAATGAATGTCATTACAATATAGAAGCAAAGCAAAATAAAAGTTTCCGTTTTCTTCCCTTATATGTTTATATAAAATAACTTATTTGTGCCTAGCATTTGCTGAGGTGTTTAATTTTTAAAGTTTTATTCCCATCTATTTCCCATTATTCTCTTTAAAATAGCTGCTATAAAGAAGGTATACAAGATAATGTTAAAATTGCCTTTTTCCTTGGATGATATTTGAATTTGGAGGCATTGTAATAAGCACTGAGATTTGTGGGGTTATGGTTTCTTGATTTATTTATTAATCATTATGTAATTTTATATTTTTATAATTTATTATAGAAGTAATTTTATTACTAATTTATAGATGTTTATAATATTAATACTAGATTGTTTTTTCTACATTAAGAAATAACCAATTATTCAATTATTTCCAGTGGTCTTTTTGTGTTCTGTGTTTCCAGGCGGGCACATGAACGGCCCCCACCCCATCCACATAGGATGCACCCAAATTATGGTCATGGGCATCATATTCATGTGCCTCAGACTATGTCCTCACATCCTCGACAGGCTCCTGAGAGATCTGCCTGGTCAGTATCTTGTTTATTTCAAAGTTACGCTCAGCAGTCTGTGGTAGAAATGTCAGAACAGATGCTTTGTAGTGGGATGCCATGCAGAAGGGTGATGAGAAACTGAATTCCAGCTTATCTGTGAGGCACTGTCTCTGGGCAAGTTACAGAAACCTGAAGTGGGAAGAGGAACTTGAGTTCTGGGGCAGAGAACCATGTCAAACAGAAGTAGAGCTTTTTGTTTTTCAGGGATATCTGCCATCAAAGTTAAATCCCTAAATGGATCTTTCACAACTTCCTTATCCACTCCCCCACCTTTGTACTCAATTTGCTTTACCACTCCTAACCCCTGTTTATTGACAAGGGAAATCGAGCTTGTGTCCTAGGCATGTGGTCTTTTTTAGAGAAATGGAAGCATTTGCATTAATTTTTCTTTCTGAATCCATTGTCTGTAGGTAGAGATTGAGACCTTGATCCACAATGACATTATGAGGCAAAACATAAAATGAGAATAAGTAAATGAAAATTTGGCATTTACCAATTTTACTCTTTCTAAAAATTTTGTTTACCCTTACTTTATAAGGTATAGAAGTGTTCTTCTAATTATCTTGATGCCAACAACCCACAGACACTATCCAACAAACAAAAGCCCTGGGAGCATCTGTAACATTCATATAAACCAGAAAACGAAACTATTTTGTATGATCCTCAAGTAGAATCAGACTTTTAGATCGGAAGGAACCTTAAGGGTCATTAATCATACTTCCTTCCTTTGTAGGATGTGAAACTGAGTACAGATGCTTTGCTTCTCATGGTCACAAAATTGAACTTTTGAGTTTTAATTGCTGAAATGAATTTGAAATATTAATTAAATATTTGGGGCTAAATTATCTTTTTCTCAGCTGTGTCAATTAAGAAACTTTATATTACTTTTAAAAATGTAAATATACTCCCCCATTTCTGTTGATAATAAAGACACTGTAAGGATGGCTAAAAGGTAGTGTTCTCATCCTTTGTCAGGGAACTGGGAATTGAAGCTGGAGTGACTGCAGCTACTTACACGCCTGGAGCACTGCATCCTCACTTGGCCCATTACCATGCACCACCACGACTTCATCACTTACAATTGGGAGCTCTTCCTTTAATGGTAAAATAGAAAAATTTCAAAATTCTGACACAGTCTCCTAAAAGTATTCTTCCTTTTCTAAATTAAATATTTTATTGGAAAATCTTTAAATGTTATTAGTTGTTATGGGTGTTTTAATGGAATTTGAGAATTATTATTATTAGATTGAAATTGTGCTATAAAAAGATACGAGACATATTAAAGTCTATATTTGTATTTGCATTGTGAAATGTACTCTTCTTAATATAAAGAATGATAGTTTTTTCTTTTATACCAAGATGACAGTCTTGATCCACTGTGACTAGAACATGTGCTTTATTTTGTCAAAGTTACTAACAGGTCTGTTCTGTTGCATTCATCCTTTATTTTTTGATCTGCAGGACTATACTGATTCTCTGTCTTATTTGAACAGATTCAGATCTTGTTGATACCAATTTGAATTCTAAAGAACAAGTTCAGCAAAAATATATTGAGTTCACCATTCATAATACCTACTAGTTATAAAAGTGGTACGGAGTAAGGAAGTTTTTTCATCTTGTGGGGGTAAAGACCTTGCAGGAACGGTTTCCAAGATGCTTTATTATATCTGCGACTTAGGCTTTGGAATTGAGAATGGTACTCTTAAACAGTGTTTATAGCATGTAAGGAGCTGTCAAACAGCAAAAGCACAAGGAACTCCAAGTAAGTTATTTGTAGGTCTTAGGGATGGGGGTTACTCAGCAATAAGATATAAAGCTGCCTTCCAAAGAAACCAGGACTCAGGAACAAAGGAGATGGAGGGAAGGTTACAGGGCAAGTGTAGGTTTAAATAATTTGAGGGGCAGGAGTTCCTTTCTTATTTTTTATTTTCCTTAAAGATGTGTAGGAGGTTAGGTTATCTGCTGAGAGCTTGGCAGTATTGATTTTGATTGTAAGGAAAGTTGTAGATATTTGAATAATAGGCTATTTGAAGGTTAAAGTTATTGCTTATTTTAAATTCTTTTCTACATACAAATTGTCTTTTAAAGCTATAAACTTGTTAGAAGTATGTTGTGGAAGTATTCAGTGGAAGCTGACTAAAAAAAAATGTTGGAGATTTATTTATAATGATGGAAGAATGGTGCTCTATCCCAGAATCTCCCTTTCCTAATACAGTCTACTGTTGTTATATACGGCAGTTACATTTTATAAAGTTGTGCAAACACTGAGTAAGTAAATATAGAGCCATTATTCTTTTTTTTTGTTTTTTAAAGATTTTACTGAGAGAGAGAGCATAAGAGGGGGGAGGGTCAGAGGGAGTAGCAGACTCCCTGCTGAGCAGGGAGCCCGATGGACTCGATCCTAGGACGCCAGGATCATGACCTGAGCCAAAGGCAGTTGCTTAACCAACTGAGCCACCCAGGTGTCCTAGAGCCATTATTCTTGCAGTAAATATAGGGTTAGGTTACTGCAAACCTCTGGTCACCATGTTTATCTGGTCACAACAGCCAGTCAGTACATAACCTTGTTTTGATGTCTGTTTCATTTTAAAGATACCTTATTTGATATGTATTACTGAGTCACAAACATTGAGCTCATGGCCAACAAAACTCATGCCTGAATGAAGCTTATCTACACACATTTTATCCATAAGGCATATCAGAGCCTTCTAGCACTTAGGAACGCTATCCCCCAGCACTTGAGTTTGGTGGCCACTTTAAAAACAAAGTCACCAGTAAAAAGCACAAAAAATGGAAACCTAGATAGATGGCACTTAAATAGATCACAAAAAAGACCCTTGTTTATAGTATAAGAGCTGAAGCAAGAAGGCAGAGCCGTGTTCTACATGTCAGGCAACTCAGATTTTTTTTCTCCTGTGTATGTGCCCATGAGTGATTGAGAAAAGCACAGGTATTGATTTTGGAGTTACAAATAATTTTTATTAAGTAGGCAAATTCATGAATATGAAGATTGAGTTATGCCTAACACAAAATTAGAAAACACTATTAAAACTTTCACCAACAGGGGCGCCTGGGTGGCTCAGTCGTTGAACGTCTGCCTTCGGCTCAGGTCATGATCCCAGGGTCCTGGGATCGAGCCCCACATCGGCTCCTTGCTCGGCAGGGAGCCTGCTTCTCCCTCTGCCGCTCCCTGCCACTCTGCCTACTTGTGATTCCTCTCTCTCTTTCTCTCTCTGTGTCAAATAAATAAATAAAATCTTTAAAAAAAAACAAAAAACTTTCACCAACAGAACGAAACATAAAAAGGAGCCAGAGTACCTTTGGCTGTTAGGAAGTTAGAGGAAGGGAAATAAGTTTTGTAGGAAAGTTCTGTGCATTTTTATTTCATAATATGGTTTAATAAAGTTCTCTGAAAGTGACAAAATCTTATGAAAATTTTACTCTTTATATATTTAGACTGCCAAGAGCATCAGTATTAACTTTGGGTATTTTCTATTTAGGATTCTTTATGCAAAATAAATCAAGTAGAAGAAACCTGTTATCTCATGGAACAGCAATTCTTTCTTTTTTTTTTTTTTTTGCTTGTATTTTAATAGTTATTCTGTGAGATTATATTTGAAGAGAAACCTAACCCTTTTACAGAGTGCTTACTTGGAGACTTAGTGAAGTTGAATTTTGTGAGTAGCTGAATGGAGTGTCTCAGTTATTTATGTGTTAAAACTCAAGCCTACTCTTACTTGATTTAGCCTGTGTCTTCTATTAAAATAGGTTCCTGACATGGCAGGCTATCCTCATATTCGTTACATTTCATCAGGATTGGATGGAACATCATTCAGAGGTCCTTTCAGGGGCAATTTTGAGGTGTGTAATACAATTAATGAAGATATTTGCCACAGTATCTTTAATGTAGAGAGAGAATATATGTATTATTAGTATTCACAGTTGAGTAGGATTGCTGCACTGGCTGGGGATCAGAAGGTAGCACAATGCCTGAATTTTTGATACTGCTTCTGGGGGTTATCACAGAAAGGTTTATAGGCAATATTAATCTTAGTATCAAAGTTATCCACGTATTTTAAGATGAGTAAATGAAAACATCTAATATAAAAGAATAAAGAAATTTATTAAATATAAATATCAGATAAAGAACTATACTCTTAAATATAGGGGGAAATCTCAATTGCTTTTGATTAAGCTTATTTTTAGAGAAACATTACTGGACAAAAGAAACCTAAGTAATTCAGTTCATAGCTAACTATCTTTTTTGAATTTTCAGGAAGACCAAATCATTTGAATATGATTTGAAGTTTTGTTTTGTTTCTTCATGTCAGTTTGGAAGTTGGAGTCAGAGGGACTTTGAACTATCCTTTGATTTGTTTCCCTATTTTACTTAATGATTTCATCTTCTCCATGCATACATACTAACTGACTTTTATAGTACCATGTAGTAATACGGTGTCCTAATCTGTAAGGATAACTTTGCCATACTACTACATTGGCTGAGGAAAGAATTACAAACATTTGCCTTATCATATATGGCTTTGTATTTACATTGAGGTTTATAAATATGTAACTTTATTGCTTTTACAATATTAACAGTGCTGTTCAAGAAATAATCATGCTGGCTTTTGATACTAATTATTCTTTACCTTCAGGAACTGATTCATTTGGAAGAAAGATTAGGAAATGTGAATCGTGGTGCATCCCAGGGGACAATTGAAAGATGTACATATCCACATAAATACAAAAAGGTAAGAATTTATCCTATGAAATGTCTATGTTATTGTTGAAGTGCATAAAATTGAATATTATGGACCTTTTTTGAGATTGTGGAGTCTAGCAACTACGTTATTTATTACTAAAACAACACATAGTTTTGTTTTGTTTTGTTCTTTTAATAATTGAAGGTCTAAAAAAACATACCTGAAGTTTCTTACCCTGCCGACCCCAGTCTTCCTTCCCAGAAGAAAAATCATAGTTAAGGCTTTTGTAGGTAATCTTCCAGATATTTTTATGAATTTACAGTAACGTGCATTACTATGCATTTTTTCTTTCCCTTTCAAAAGTAACACAAAGGGGATGATATGCACACAATTTTGCACATTTTCTTTTCCTCTTCTTTCCGCACTCACAGGTCACCTATATTCATTTTAATAGCATATACAAAATTTCATCATATGGCATACCATAATTTAACTAGCAGTTTATTTGGACATTTAATTGATCTACATTTCTTATATTCTACGCTTAATTCCTTATGTTGTAGTATAGTATATCTAGAAGTTAAGGAGCAGACATGTTAAATAAGTTTCTTTCAACAAACAACAATGTCCTCTGCTACACAGAGGATAATAAAAGTATGAAAATTATTGTTCTTTGTACTTTTTATCTGTTTTCTAAGAGTATCCACTAAATTTAAATCCTTTCAACTATCTAAGTTAAAGACTATAATTAGCATTAATTTATTTGGGTGTTATTTGAAATAGTCATTAGTAAAGTAAAGTTCATGTAGCTGTACTCATGCCGGGACAAAAATAGAGTTTATATCATGTATCATTCCTAATTGTGGATTAAAAATAATAGACACTAATGAATTAAAACTAATGAATTTCTATTACATTTGGTTTTGCTTTTGATGCTATTTAAGGGTCTTAAAAGAACAGTTGGTAGTCACTTAATTCATCCATGAAATTCATGACATCTGTACCTGGGAAATAAGTTGTGGGTGTGAATGTGTGGTTTTGTTTTGTTTTTGTTTTTCAAATAAACACAGACTTTACTCAGTTGTTCAATAATGTCATCTCTACTAATAAGGTAACAACTGATTGGTTCTCACAGAGGAAACTGCACTGCAAACAAGATGGGGAAGAAGGGACTGAGGAAGACACAGAGGAAAAATGTACTATCTGTTTGTCTATTTTAGAGGAAGGTGAAGATGTGAGGTAACTAGACATTAATTATCTAAAATCTGTTGTCAAAACTATACAAGAGATTTTATTTGAAAATAGACTACAAACCAAATAAAGATTACTCCTGGCATACCCTGTTACCAATATCTGACATGCAGAATTGCCTTTTTACAGTGAGTGAAAGAATAGAAAGATGAGTCTTTGTATTACCAACAAAGGGGTTGGTAATGGGGAAATATACTGCCCATGTTAGAGGCACACCAAGATTTGGCCAGGGAAATTTTATGATCAAATTGTCTTCTATAAATCTTGCAGAAAGAATTTGGAGGCTTCAGAGCCTAAGATAGTTATATTAATGTATTCTTCAAAGCTTAAAGAGGGCAATCCTCCTTAGCTCCATGCAGTTTATCTTATAGCATCTTTTATAAAATAGTTTTGTCCTAAAATTTCCTCTCAACTTATATATAGGACTCTTCTTGCAACTTTGTGATTTAGAAATGTTACTATGCTCACCCACTGTTAATTTTAGGCATTTTCTTTTTTTTTCTTTCTTTTTTTCTTTCGAGAGTGAGTGAGTGAGGGGAGGGGCACAGGGAGAGGGAGAGAGAGAATCTCAAGCAGGCTCCACACCCAGCAAGGAGCCCAACATAGGGCTCATTACCACTGAGCCTGAGATCATGACCTGAGCTGAAATCAAGAGTCAGTCAGATGCTTAACCTACTGAGCTACCCAGGCGCCCCAGGCATTTTCTTCTTATAATCTCTTAAGTAATTGTTTTATTTTTATTGTTTTTTTCTAATGTAACATAATCCCATATGAAACAAGTTCTATAGCATATATAACAGAACCACATGATGATTTTGTAGCCCTAACATGTAAGGATAACTTTTTCATATTTCTTCAGTTGGCTGAGAGAGAGAAAAATTATGCACAGTTGGCTACCGTACCACATATAAGGCAATTTCAAACACATTTTAAGATTTTATTTATTTGAGAGAGAGGAGAAAGAGAGAGTGTGAGCACACGAGTGGGGGAAAGAGGGAGAGGGAGAAAGTGTGAGCACACGAGCGGGGGAGAGAGGGAGAGGGAGAAACAGACTCCCCACTGATCAGGGAGCCCGATGCGGGACTCGATACCAGGACCCTGGGATCATGACCTGAGCTGAAGGCAGACGCTTAACCAACTGAGCCACCTAGGAGCCCCTAAGGTTATTTCAGAACACTGTATTTCCAAAGAAGGTTTATAAATATGGAAGGTAATTGTTTTTACAGCATTGACAGTCTTGTTCACACGGTAATTGAACACCTCTTTTTAGCTACTAGTTTTACAAAATATTAGAAGTCTGACAACGTATGACAATTCTTAACAGTAGACGGAAGTAGAAATGGACACTTAAATCAGTAACTTTTATCTTACTGTTCATTTAGATTTAATATTATCCTGTATTGCCTGGAAGCATTTTTTATTGAGATATAGTTAACATATAACATTGTATTTATTTCATTGTATTACAACATGGTTTGATAATACAAATATATTCCAAAACGGATTGACCTACCTTTAAAAGAGTAGGATGGTATTAAGTGGATATAACAATATTATTGAAAACAATATTATTAACCTTTAATCAGTCATGTACTCAAGTTTAATGTATAAAGATCCTCTAGATAAAAAATAATATTGCATATTAAGACATTCTTAATTAGTATGATATTTACTGTAACATGAGTACTAATGTTTTTGAGAGAGAATTAAATGAAATATATTTTTAAATGCTGAATAAATGCAATGATTTGATATTAAAAATATATTTGCAGTATTATGTAACGGAACATACTGCCAGCCTCATTAGAAACCAGACCGGGATAATTGCCAGTGTAATTGTCATTCTTAAAATTCCTAAGATTTTATGTAATTTGGTTCCATAGCTGTGACAGTTAATTATCATGGTCATTTATACATTATATTGCCCAAAGTAGTAATTTAATATAGGTGTAACTTGTTAGAGAATTGGGTATGTGGTTTTTTTGTTTGTTTTGTTTATACAGAAGGGAAAGAGCTAGTAACTTCAAAATACTGCTGAATTATTACATGTTATCATTTATTTAAAAGTAAATGCCACGTGCAGTTGTCATGAAATTCACTTTTGCAATTTTTGCTTTTTGTTTTGTTTGCCCATAATAGGCGCCTTCCCTGTATGCACCTTTTCCACCAAGTGTGTGTTGACCAGTGGTTGATTACCAATAAGAAGTGCCCCATATGCAGAGTGGACATTGAGGCCCAGCTGCCAAGTGAAAGTTGACACCATGTTTCAGAACTCTTGCCCTCCCTCTCATTCCCATCCTCCTGGTACTGCAGTCAACCAAAGATGGCGTGACTTACCTGCGCAGATTTGGAAGCCTTGAACTTAGAGTGCGGCTCTGCTATATGGTACAACTAATGCTAGACCTACAGTTTATGTATACAGTTGAGTTTGATGTATTTATAAAAGCTTTTTTTTCTAGATTTGACATTTTTCCTGTATCATTTTACTGTATTTTTGCATGGTTCCTTGTATTGCATTTCTTTGCACATATTATGGGCTTGTGACCCTAAACTTGCAGGCAAGATTAGCTGCTTTAGTAAGTAGAATTTTGTGGTCTTTTTGTTTTTTACATAGTACCAGGTCTTGAGAATTATGAATTTTTTTATCCATTACTAACCTTTAATTTAATCAATCATGTACTTTAGTTTAATGTATAAAGATCCTCTAGAAAATGATAATATTGTGTATTAAGACATTCCTTAATTAGGACAAAATGGCTGCTGTATATTTACAATATGGAGTTCTGAGTTAAATACCATCCTTAATACTGGGAACAGAATACAAACCATATTCAATCAGATGCAGGTGGTATTCACATCACCAGAGTGATCAATAGAAATTTTCTTGGTGTATCCTTTTACTTTCAGCATAATGCAGATAGAGTTGAATATTGATATCATACATTTAGACTGCTGTTCTGATTGTATTTATCTTTTTCCTACATCATTTAGAACTTTTATTTCCCTGAGTCAGTTTTTGCTGCTGTGAAACAGCTCTGATGAACACTAAATATTAATTTCAATTAGCTGGATTGTACATACTTGCAGATTTAACAAAATTTTAGGGAAATTGAAGAAGACATGTAGAATTTTGTTCAGTCTTCTGCTAAGCACGTATAGTAAGGATATCTGCTTAACACTGATTTTGTAATAAACACATTCAGTCAGGATTTAGAATTGCAGTCATTGGCAGGTATCTCTGCATTCATAGAACTTCTCAAGGTCCCAGGATCACTTTTAAGGGATTTTATTAGTTTAAAGATAAATAAAGTCAGCTGAATCTACATGTCTCTTGTTTTATTTCTCTTTAAACTTGAAAACAGTAAATCTGCACATACTGTGAGGCACAAATTATACTGTCAACCTACTGTTGCTCTGGTTTTAGACTCCCACTTCATACATTACCAAGAGTCGATCACTGATTTAAAATTTTTAATTTCTATAGTTAAGATTTACTGCATAATATAGAATATAAAGTTAAGTTAACGTACTAACATTTCTCCTTTGGAGAAAGTTTTAATCCACTTCAGGATGCATATTATCAAGATACTTTCATATACAGGATAGCCTAATTTTATTTGTCTAAATATGCTTAACATGCCCCAGATTGCAAATGCATCAGTCAGTAACGTCACTGTCTGTATGTGGAAGACATGTTCCCATGGATCATATGTGAAGATGTCAATAAGCTTGCATTAAGCCACCTGCTTTGTAAGTGGATTGATTAATAAATAACTTATATTTCTATTGTCTTTGTGTTTCATAATTAGTTTTATAAAACAGTTTCTATCAAACATCTTGGAATTCAAAAATAGTGATCTCACTCAAGTTGACATTTGCAGAATTTTCATATTCATTCAGTTATGGCTACTTGCTTTTTTTTTTTTTGTATTAGTAAATGTAACACTGTAGTAATTGTCAATATCAACATGCTTCTACATAGTTATGTGTAGAGATGGAGGATGGACTATGGTTAAGAAATTTGATGTAAAATAACATTTTTTAAAAAGAATACTTGATGATTAGGCTGCAGTTGTAGAAGGGCAGAGGAGGGAGACAAAGAGTGACCATGGCCCATGCCTGCCATCTTACCGGGGAAAGGAGCAAGTAGCCTGTCTTCAAGTAGCCTGTGATGGGTGTAGGACTTTTGCACTGGAAAAGCCAGGGTCCCTGTCAAGGGTGGAAGTATATATGGGGAGAATTCTATACAGTGGAGTCCTCTTGATGTTCCTCAAAACACAAGAAGAACAGATAGATTTCTCTATTTTTTAATATTACATCAGATTAATATTACAGCACGACTACCTGTTGACCTGTTTCATAATTGCTACTGATTTTTTTTTATGTAGATAAAGCCTTATTTCTTTAAAATTTATTTAATACAAATATTTGTGGCATAAACCTGGATTGTTAATGCAGGAGCTTAGTAAGCAACTGTAATTAGTTACAGAAAATGTGATTAGTAATGAACCAAGTACAGAAGATAATAATTTTTAATATTTTAACTTTTGTGCTTTGTTTTGGTGTCTTCCATATCCTGCTGCATCTTATGTCAAAATGAAAATTTCAGTGATAGCTGTCCAAATACTTTAGAACTAAAATTCTTTTGTCAGAAAATCCTTATTTTTATTGTTGTTAATATGCAAGTGATAAACTGATATTTGAAACATTTTTCTTACTCTGGTGACTTTATTTTAGCTGCTAACATGCTTCATCATTTGAACCATAACAATTTGACACACAGAAAACTATAACTCTTTTTAAAATGGCATTTATAACACTTAACAGACTCGACATTTCAATATTAGTATTTCATAAATGGGAATAGTTTAATTCTGTAGAAAATGCATCCTGATTTCGAACTTACCTTCCAACTCCTCTGAAAACACAGTGAATTTTCTTCTTCAAGAAGAACATGCCGGCCCTGTTGGTAGAGCATGTGACTCTTCATCTCGGGGTTGTTAAGTTTGAGCCCTACCTTGGGTATAGAGATTACTTAAAAATAAAATCTTAAAAAAAAAAGACAATATATCACAGTATTAGATATGTCAAGGTTGAAATACCTTCTCTCAGTTATAGATTCAATCATCTTCTTGAATTAAGAATTACAGTTGACCCTTGAACAACATGGGTTTGAACTGTACGGGTCCACTTATATATGGACTTTTTTCAATAAGTACAGTGTAGTAAATGTATTTCCTTATATTCTTTTTAAAAATTTTTATTTCTTTATTGTCCTTATGATATTCTTAACATTTTCTTTTCTGTAGCTTACTTTATTGTAATACAGTATGTAATACATAAAATGTACAAAACGTGTTACGACTATGTAGGCAATAAGGCTTCTGGTCCACAGTAGGTTATTAGTTAAGTTTTGGGGGAGTGAAATGTTAACACATGGATTTTTGGCTGTGTGATTGGTGCCCCTAACTCCCCCATATTGTTCAAAGATCAACTATATGTCCAAAACAACTATTTCTTTTTAATATTGAATGGGGGGCTTGAACTCATGACCCTGAGATCAAGACCTGAGATGAGATCGAGAACTGGATGCTTACCCACTGAGCCGCCCAGGCGCCCTAAAACTATTTCTTACTAAGAAAAATAAATGTTACCTATTTTGTGGTTGGACCTACTGGGCACAATGTCCTCTCTATGTATTCTGTACAAATTTACAGGCCACACAAATGATTTCTGTAGTTGTGGAAAGAATATAGGTTTTGGTGTCAGGCAGACAAGGGCTTTGAATTGTGCAGCTTTGAACTTAAACTTTCTGAGCCTCATCTGTCTCATCTATAAGAATAGGTTGTTATTAGAATTAAATGAGGTAACAAGTGCAAAGAGCTTTGCATGTAGTACATACTTAAGAAGTTCAGTCATGCTGTTAAATATTAAACGCTAAAACTTCGGCGGTTCCTGCATAAAATTGACAAAAAAAAAAAAGAAGAAGAGTAGAAGCTCTACCAATGCTCACTGCATTTCACCCCACCACCCAAAACAACTACCCTTGCCCTTGATAACAAATGGCAGCATAGCATGGTGCTGAACCACAGATCAGTGTTTGTCCTTCTTTGATGGATTGGACTTTTTCTTCTACTAGAGGGCTGGAGGATTTCCAGCACATTGGCCTTTTTCCCTTGCCTTGCAGTCACAACAAGGACATAGTTGCCCATCAATACCATCCAATGCTATATTTTAGGCAGCCATTGCCAGTGGATCAGAATTGGCAAAGGATATGAAACCATTTGTGTTCTCTGATCTAAAGGAAAATTTTATGGAGAAATTAACAACTAGAACTTATCATTCTCCCCTAATTTTTTCCTCACCAAATTGTGCTATGCAGGGACCTGGTCCCTGTTAAGGGTTAATTAAGCACATACCACTGAGCTGCCTACATTGTTAGCTTCTTCTAGGCTTATTTTAGGCTAATAGCTATTACTGAGAGAGCATGTGGAAGGTACGGGTTTCTAGGAGATGCTTTTGATTAGCCCAAACAAATTGCGTGTCTCTTTTAATTCTTTATCATCACTACAGAGAATGAACTGGATTCACTAGATACTAATTTTCATTGTGGGCTCTGCTGAATCTTGAGTACGAACTTTTTTTTTTTTTTAAGATTTTATTTATTTATTTGAGAGAGAGAATGAGAGAGAGCACGAGAGGGAAGAGGGTCAGAGGGAGAAGCAGACCCCCCGCCGAGCAGGGAGCCCGATGTGGGACTCGATCCCAGGACTCCGGGATCATGACCTGAGCCGAAGGCAGTCGCTCAACCAACTGAGCCACCCAGGCGCCCGAGTACGAACTTCTAAATCATTTTTGCTTTAGGTGATAATATTCAATATACATGTGGGGAAAAAGCTTTGGGAAGTGTGGAATTCTGCAGATTATCATTGATACATTGTGCTCTGTAAAGGAAGAACTGGACTTTGTCCACTGCCTGTGTGGCTGGTAGCACAACTCAAGACACTCAGCTTTTCCAATCTGGCCTGCCCTTCCCCCCCTTTCATATGTGGAAATTCTTCCTTAATACGGGATGCCCCAAACTTGCTATCCCAGGGATTCTGTCCTTTAGATTTTCAAGAGCTTTCGTAAAAGGAGTGTTGGACAGGGGAATTGGAAGAGATGTGGTAAATCTCCCATCCACTGCATCCCGACCTGCCTTTAAAAAGGAATGAATGTCTTTCATTGAACTGCTATCTAGTTACCATGCTATTAGCATTTGCTCAGAGAATAAGTTGTTATGGTGTACCTGGTTTCCTAGAACGTCAGTTAGCCACACACTCCTCAGAGTTTTGTATTATCTATTGCTGTGAAATAATTATTTATTGATTTGTAACTCTAGAACTTAGTGGCTTAAACATTAAACATCTTAGTTTCTGTGGGTCCAGAATTTGGAAGCAGCTTAGGTTGGTGCTTCTGGCTCAGGGTCTCTCATGAGGTTACAGTCAAGATGATAGCTGGGGCCCTCAGTCATCTGAAGCCTTTACTTGGTCTGGATGATCTGCTTCTAAGCTCGCTCACATGGCTGTTGATAGCTTTGGTTCCCTCTTGGCTATTGGCCAAGAGGCCTCTCCTCCCCCTATCAACAGCCATGTGAATGAGCCATTTTGGACATAATCCAGATTGAGGGGGAGGGGAGATAGCTACCCCTGTTAATAGAAGTGGCAGGAAAAAAAAAATGGCTATCTTTAATCTACCACAGTTTGGTAAAACAAACCCTTTTGTTAGAATTACAATTTTTTTTTAAAGATTTTTATTTATTTATTTGAGAGACAGAATGAGAGACAGAGAGCACGAGAGGGAAGAGGGTCAGAGGGAGCAGCAGACCCCCGCTGAGCAGGGAGCCCGATGTGGGACTCGATCCTGAGACTCAAGGATCATGACCTGAGCCGAAGGCAGTTGCTTAACCAACTGAGCCACCCAAGTGCCCTGTTAGAATTACTATTATGAACTTCCTGAACTCATTAGTTTTTTCCCTCCTAAACCAAAATTTAGTGTATGGGAAAGCCATGTGTGCAAAATGATGTTATGTTCTCAAGCATAATCAGGGGAATCAGTAGTGGAAGAACTTTAACTTCTCTATGCTGATACTTGAGTAAAAGAAATTTATGGGGGGACGTCTGTGTGGCTCAGTCAGTTAGGCATCTGCCTTCGGCTCAGGTCATGATCCCAGGGCCCTGGGATCAAGCCCCACATTGGGCTCCCTGCTCAGTGGGGAGTCTGCTTCTCCCTCTCCCTCTGCCTGCTGCTCCCCCTGCTTGTGCTCTCTGTCAAATAAATAAATAAATTCTTAAAATAAACCTATGGGATGGAGATAGCTACGTATTTCTGTAATTTAGAAATTCTTTCTGCAGGATTCTTGATAGATGATTATTATGGTGGTTAGCTTTGTGTGTCAACTTGACTGCACCATGGATGCACCATGGAGTGCCCAAACACTTGGTCAAACATTATTCTGGGTGTGTTTGTCGGAGTGGTTCTAGATGAGATTAACATTTGAATATCTGTAGATTGTGTAAAGCAGATTGCCCTCCCTAATGTGAGTGGGCCCTGTCCAATCAGTTGAAGGCCTGAATTTAAAAAAAAAAAACAAAAACCTTGGGGCGCCTGCATGGCTCAGTCAGTTAAGCATCTGCCTTCAGCTCAGGTCATGATCTTAGGGTTCTGGGATCAAGCCCCCCATCGGGCTCACTGCTCAGTGGGAAGCCTGCTTCTCCCTCTCCCTCTGCCTGCTGCTCCTCCTGCTTGTGCTCTCTCGTTATCTCTCTCTCTGTGTCAAATAAAATCTTTAAAAAAACAAAAACCAAAAAACCTCACCTTCCATGCCTCCCCCTGCACCCCATGATTAAGGGAAAATTCCCTGATTCATTTTTCTCTTGTCTTTAGACTCAAACTGAGCCATGGGCTTTTCCTGGGTCTCTAGCTTGCCGGCCTTTGGATTTGGAACTATACTAATGGCTTTCCTGGGTCTCTAGCTTACAGACTGGACTGTAGGACTTGTCAGCTTCCATAATTGTGTAAGCCAATATCATATAATTTATCCATCTGTGTATCTATCTAGTCATGTGACCATGTGAGCCAATACCATATAACCTATCCTTCTTCCTTTCCTTTCTCTTTTCCTGTCCTTTCCTTTTCCTTTTCCCTTTCCTTTTCCTTTCCTTTCCTTTCCTTTCCTTCTCTCTCTTCCCTCCCTCCACTCCTTTCTTTCCCCTCCTCTCTCTCTCTCTCTCCCTCTCTCTCTTGACTCCTAACTAAAGCAATTATCATGCTCTGGTTATATTCTTCCAGTGATGATGAGGTCACTACCTATTGAAGAAGCACATTTCTTTTATAAACAGTTACAGTTATTCTTTATTATTATTATTATTATTTTTAGTAGATGTTCCTATAACTTCTACATTCTAGAGCAATGCAAAAATAAATCTGGTGTCTTCCTATATGCTAACTCTTCAGATAAACGGACAGCTATCTTGAATTTTTTAGGTCTTCCCCAAGTGAAATATCCTTCGTACCCTTGACTTTGTTTAACGTGGATCTTAAGCATCTTAGCTCTTCTTGTCACCATTTTCTGGATACTTCTAGTTTATTAATGTTCCTCAAAGTATGATACCTATAAATAATTATTACTCCAGAATGGTGTATTTTCTAAGGGAGCACAGGTTTCCTAGGATGGGTGTGCAAATAGAAGGAATAAGAATGGAGGGTCACCTGGCTGGCTTAGTTGGTGAAGCATGCAACTCTTGATCTCAGTGTCATGAGTTCGAGCCCCATGTTGGGTGTAGAGATTACTTTAAAGATCTTTAAAAAAAAAGGAATTGGAAATGGATTACAAACTGAAGGGAAATGAGACACAGTCTTCACTCTACCATCTATGTGAGATGGGGATTGGTTCTCATGTCTAAGTAGGCCTGCACACCCCCAGGAGCAGGTTAGTCCAGGATTGGGGCTGTTACTGAAAAGTCAACTTGATATTCCAACTGGGACACTCCATTCTGCAGCTCCTCAGTATTCTACCAAAGCTGATAGGATATAATACAAAAATTAGAGTTCCTCACAATATTTATGTTGTAATAGAGAATAGGAAATGCATAAATAATTGAACAGCATAATTTTACAACTCTTGAGTCAATGATTTGTTATCCTCAACAGAACCTGTACCTTTTCACTTTCTAAGGATGAGTTAATAATATTTTCATCCTTTCATGTACCTTATCTCTATATTTTAAACACCATGAGGGCAGGGACCCAGTTTTTATGCCTTTTTTCCCATCTAAGTAGCAATGCCTTGCTTATAGAAGGCATTAAGTTTATTTAAAAACAAAGGGTGTGCCTGGGTGGCTCAGTCAGTTGGGCGACTGACTCTTGGTTTCAGCTCAGGTCATGATCTCAGGGTCGTGTGATTGACACCCCCCCCCCCGCCATCCCATCAGGCTCCATGCTCAGTGGGGAATCTGCTTGAGATTCTCTTCCTCTTCCTCTCCCTTTGGTCCTTCCCCATTCGGGTCCAGATTTTAAAGAATCATTTTGAGTGGAGGCCCATGGAGTCACTAGAAAGGTGTTTGTTTCTACCTCTCTGGGTCGTCTTGCTTCTGAGCAAGATTACAGGCCCTAGACTGGGACATACCCATGCACCCTGTTCAGCCAGTAATAGGTTACCTGGTTACCTGCATGGGATAGATAATGTTGACCTGTTGGTTAAGGTGAAAGATGTCAAGATGGATGCAAGCAAGGCAGAGGAAAAGGCTTTCTTTTTGTAAGAAAAATGACTGACCTACCTTTCCCCCTCCCAAAGAAATTAGCGATGGAAATTACTATTTTTATTTATAACTTGTTTTGCATAACTTTTGAGAGAAAATTTTAATGTAACCACCCAAAACTTTTACGTTCGTTACTTTACAATTATTTTCCATCATCACGTTCAGGTATTTGTGAAGGTTCTGTCATTCCTCCAAAATTGCCTCTCATACCTGCTTCCATTTTTCATTTTTCACACTCATCCAAGTCAAATTTTTGTTACATCTCACCTGGGAAACCTTTAGCTTTCCAATCCACTATAATCCATTCTTCATGCTGCCCAGTGGGTCAGCTTTTGAAAACAAAGCTTGACCAAGTCATTTTCCTTCTTAAAAATGTTCCATGATTCCTCGTTTTCTGGATCTTTTGTAGCTTTACCATTTCTATGATCCAAATGTGTGAGATTACTTCTGGTTTTTCCACAGATTTTTCCCCCATTGCTCCCACTTCTTGAACACCTGTGCCATCCCAGCCTGCTAAATTCTAACCCTTTTTTCAAAGCTCAGCTCAAATGTTTCCTTTTTAGTAAGGCTTCCTTCATCTACCCAGAATTAGTCTTCTCCTTTGTGCTCAGTTTTTTTTAGGTTCTCCCTCTTATAATAATTTTGTTCCTATATGTCTCCCCCTCATTGTTTTGAACTTGAGGGCATGGTTCATACTTTATTCTTCTCTGTTCCCTGCAGTGCCTTGCACAAAATGACATTTTAATGTTAATATAGCAAATATATTTTGTCTTCTAGCTAGTTGAGAGAAAAGAAGAAATCAGAAAGAGGTAGGCAGAAATGGATGGGGGTGGGTAAGAGAAATGGGTAAGGGCAACTGAGGGAGAGAACATGGTAGTATATTAGGAAGATTGCTGGGTTCTGATAAAAATCTTCTGGTGAAAAATGATAATTTGTCTATTATCTCATTCAGAGATGATATATAAATTATATATTATATAGATTATGATGATATATAAATTAAACCAGGCCCTTGATGCCCTATGGTCTGGAATAATGGCAGCTGAAACTCACCAAGAATGGAAGTGGAAAAGCATTCTTCAAGGATGTAGAAACCATGAACGTGAGCTGAGCTTTTGGACTTGTCTTATATATTAGTAGGTAACCCAAATGAGTCCTAATAAAAATTCAACAATAAATAAGCACCTTATTTATTCTAGGCACTAGAGATAGAATAGTGAACAAAACAAATATCCCTGCCCTCATGGAGCTTACATTCTAGTGCATTTGTTCAAATTAAGTAGCCCCTGGGTTAAGCTTCAGATGGTCCTAGTGGCCTGCCTTTGGGACTTCTGGAAGGGCTGTTAGGTTTCCAGCCTCGAACTGACCTAAAGCAATTTTTGCTGCCTGAAGTTCTTCAGTTCTGCAACAGTGGCTATCTGTGAAGTATCCTTAATGGGGGAAGGTCCTGGAAATCTGAGAAAAAGAATCCCAAGGCCAGGAGAAAAGGTGAGTATGTACCTGAATAAGAAATTGGAAGCGAGGAGGGTCTGACAAACAGCAAGCAAATCTTTGACCATTCAGAACAGTCCTGATAGCCAAGACTGAAAGTCCCTACCCCAAACTGGGGAATTTTGGTGTCAGGAAAGAAGAGTTCCCATCTGGCATTCCAGGAACTAAACATTTGTGTGAGAATCTCAGAATCTCTGTCTCTGACTCCCTTTCATGGTGTTGGAAGACACTAGGCAACAGCTACCTTGAAGCCCAGTACCTCCTGCCAAGCCAAGCCATTCACCTTGTCTCCAGCCATGCCAGTACTGGTGGTCCGTGCTTTTGCTTGGGGTGCTCCCTCTGTCTGCAAACATCTCCTTTCACCCTATATCAACTAGAGTTCATATGTACACCTTTTCAAAACAGTACTTGACTAAGAAATTAAATTGATCATGTGGAATTTTACCATACTGTAAAGGGTCATTGGCTTTTAAGAAATTTATTTTTGGTTAATTTAATATTTGATTTCCTTCAATGACTGTTTCGAAGTTTTCCCACTCTTTCTGCCAAATGTAAATAGAGTGACAATGGTAAATATAGTGGAAAGAGCACAGGTTTTGGAATCAAACTAGAGTACAAATCCTAGCTTTGAAACTCAGAAGCACAATGATTGTAGCCAAGACATTTAACTGTTCTGAACCCTAGTTTCTTCATCTGTCAAGTTGGGATAATACATGATGGATGTTAACTAGACTTATTGTTGTGATCATTTTGCAATATATACAAATATCTAATGTTGTATATCTGAAACTAATGTTGTATATCAATTACACCTCAATAAAAAATGACAAAATATTTGGGATAATACTACCTATTTTATAAAGATTGTTATGAGGATTCAACAATAAAGTTTATGGAAATTAGTATATAGGAAGTGTGATCAATAAATGTTACCTGAGACAGGAGGGAACAGGAAATAGAACCAAGAGGCCTAGCTGGCTCAGTCAGTAGAGCTTGTGACTCTTGATCTCCAGGACCCAAGTTCAAGTTCTCACACTGGGTGTAGAGATTGCTTAAAAAAAAAAAGAAAAAAATATATATGGACTACAATGCATTAAGCAAAAGGTTGAATCAAAAAGTTTATTTGTAAAGTTCCAGGTTAGTTGCAGTGAAGGATACAAAGATATTATTTCCATTTTTAATGAAAATACAATCTGTCTAATATGGATTATTCAATGTTGACAATGTCAAGTCAGTTAGTAAAAGCACTTTGCCATTCACAGCATTCCTGTTTACAAAGCCCTATGAATGGGTGAGGATTGTTACTTTCATAGTTCTAGCTTTTGAAATCACAATATTATAACAAATAAAAATATAATTTTACTCACAACTTCGGGGCACTAAACGTCTATTTTTCCTTCCTCAGACTTTTTCACTGGATACCTAATTTTCAGTAATCAGTCAATGGATACACTAAGATCTTTCCATGCCACAGAGCAGCTGCAATTATTCGGGTTTTACAAAAGAGGAAACAGGTTTAGAAACGTCAGTATATGTGCTGCCGAAGCGAGCACAGGTTTAGAAACGTCAGATGCAAGGGCAAGGGCAGAATTTAATTCAGATTACTTAACTTCATTCAAGCCTCATTAGTACCCCAGTAACAGTGGTAAAAAGTGGTAGAACAGAAACCTTGCTCAAATTCTTGGACGGAGGCTGCTATCAGTTGTCATTCCACTACCTCTACTGTGGGCGTTGGACCTTTCCTCTCCCTTTTTCCTTTCCTCTTTTCCGGTCTCCCACCCTTCTGCCCAAGGCTGGATTACACCCTCTTTCTCATTTTAAAATCTTCTACACGTCATAGGGTCATTTATTCGACGAATATTTATTGAATACCGACAATAATACATACCGAAAAATGCGCTAGGTGCCGGTCATACAATGGAGAGCTTACATGAATCACGAACCACACAAATCATTTACCTTTTTATTTTCCTCTCCCTGGGAGTCTTAGCTTTTGAGCAAATGCCACAATTCCCACTCTTTTAGCACACGTTTGAGTCTCAACCACCTAACAGTGCTGACCCTGAACCGCCCAGAGGCGTCTACTCCCCCACTCAGGCCAACCCAACGTAGACTCCAACTCGAAATTTCCGGAAGAGGAATAAAGGTCAGAAATGGCATTTCCAAGGTGTTTCCTAGAACGAACTTCCGCCCAGCTAGTACAAACGTAGAGAGACATTCTTAGGTGAGACCTACTCAAAATTCAGAGAAGGCGTCCTACGTCTGAGTCCTCAGTGAGACATTTCATTTTTGTTGATCTAAGAGGCCGAGATTTAAAAAGAAAGGAGGAAAAAAAAAAAAGACAGTAGGCGGAAAAAATATCCAGTTGTCCTGACAACCGAACGGGTCTTGAAAATTCAGCCAATCCGCCTGCGGGAATGCCTCCTGCCTAGCCAATAGGAAGAGCGCGCCGTACGTAAGACCGCCCAATGGGGGCGCGAGCGGCGCGATATTTGAATCCTGTAACAAGGCGACATTGCGAAGGTCTTAAGCGGTGCGGGCCGGAGTGTGGAGCTAACGGCGCCGCGGAAGTTGGTGTCCTCCCTCTCCGGTCCGCGTCCCTCCCTGGGCCGGGCTGGCATTCTTGCCTGCCCCTTCCCACATGGCGCTGCTCCGACGCCCGACGGTGAGTGGGCCCGGCAGACCCCCCACACCGGCCAGGCTCTTCGGCCGCGCAGCCCGGTCACCCGCCTCTAGCCTCCTCTCTCTCCTGCGCAGGACTTCTTCGTCCCAACGGGCGCCGCTCTCCCCTCCTGCCTGCTTCCCCTGCGCCCCAGCCTGCGGCCTGTCCTCTTTGCCAACCTCTCCCCTCCTCGGATCCGCTCTGGGTTCCCCGTTTCCGCCCTGGCCAGTCCAGGGGTGAGGGAAATGTAGGAGTGAGGAAAGCGTAGGAAAGCGCCTCGGAGGTGGCACCTGTCAAGTGAGCCTCTCCAGCACTGGACTTGGTACTCAGTGAGCGATCTCCGAGTGCTCTTTGTTGTTAGAGTGCTATCTAAATAGAGGTTGTTGTAATTTCCTTCCTCTGTTCTCAAACTCCTTGCCAGCTAAGGGATGGGGGATGGGGAGAAGGACTGGAAGAAACTAGGTGGTCAACTGTTTTGAATGTTTGATCAGGCAACAGTCATGGCTGTTTTTCGGATTTTTCACATTTCATTTTGTGTTAAGTTTCCTATTTATTTCTGCGCTCGAAGTCTTCCAGGTTAAGTTCACTAACTTATGCGTCTATCATTTTAAAAAATTAATTTCTTTAATCAAGTGTAATAAAGATTTTGCATATAATTTGGTACAAATGTAAACAGAAGGTTCCAGATTCATTTGTTTCATCTTTGCAAAAATGCAAGTGTTAATGGTGTTTTGAATGTTTTTTTTTCTGTGGGCTTGAATTGTATCTGCGTCTACTTTTCCTTTGCTGGAAAATGGAGGGCCCTGACACACCTGAGTTCCATCCTCCTGACTGTAAGCCTAGTTAAAAGCTGCCAGTTTTCCCCTCCAGATGGATTTAAACTTAGATTACCAGACTTCGACCCATAAGCATTAAAATTTCAAACACTTTTTAAAAATTGGCAATTACTGCTGGAAAAAATTGAACAGTGTGCTTTTGAGAATCCTAATAAGTTGAATACATTCAGTATTTAATTCCTATCCTTTTGTGGATCTAAGTTGAACTGACAAGTAATTTTTGTCTAATCTGTCCCATAAAGTTCTTTCATTGTCAAATTCTTTCTATTCAGGGAAGGCTTGAGTTTTCTCCTGCCCCCTCTGTCTATCCTTGTAGATCCATTCAAACCCCCTGTTGGGAGATTTTTAAGATTAGGACTCAAATTCTCAGGGATAGTACATTCTGCTTTTTTTTTCTCATGAAATGTTTATCACCTCTACAATAAAATAAACTTTTTTGTATGAATTGCTTTTTCTAGAAAGTTTTGTTTCTAAGCACATTCTGTCAAAAGTATGTTAAGGTCAACTAATGATTTTTTATTCCATACCATTTCAACTTTCTCTGAATTTGAAAGTAAAACTATTTTACCTGTGAAAACAATTTCCTTTCTAAGTATCCTTAATATAAAAGAGTCCGTGCTATGGCAACCTCATTTTAAAAGGCAGTATCTCTAAAGATCATGTCTATAGGAGCACTTCTTATTTGTAGAATGGCGTGAGAATCAAAGCTAGTTTAGGTTTTAAACATCTGGACCTATTATGGCTTTTTAATAATGTTTTAATTGTACTTGTTATTAATCTCCCTAAAGTTTTTATTATAGTGAGAGCTTGCACATGTGGTTGGGGAGGGGCAGAGGGAGAGGGAGAGAGAGAATCTTAAGCAGGCTTCATGCCTAGCGCAGAGCCCGAGGTGGGGGGCTGGATCTCACGACCCTGAGAACATGACCTGAGCTGAAATCAAGAGTAGGACTCTTAACCAAGCTACTCTAAAGAAAGATTTTTAAATAGATTAATTTGGTATACAGGGATCTTTAACAAGTGGGTGCTATATAAGAAATAATCACTTATCTTGAAACCTCTTAATGGGATTATTTATTTTACAGATAAGGTGGATAAGTGATTTGCCTAATTTCAAGTGACGTGATCAATCACAAATAGCATTTTTAGTCTTCCTAAAAAAATGTATCTTTTCCCTCTCACAAATTGATCTCCGCATATTTACATTTTCCAAATTCTGCATTTGGATATCTGACATTAGCAAAGTATTATAAGTTGTCTCAATTCATCATTAACTTTCTCTCTCTCTCTTTTTTTTTTAAGGTGTCCACTGATTTGGAGAATGCTGACACTGGAGTTAATTCTAAAGCTAAGAGTCATGTGACAATCAGACGGGCAGTTTTAGAAGAAATTGGAAATAGAGTTACAACCAGAGCTACACAAGTAGCTAAGGTAACAGCCATGAGGACTGTCCATGTTCACACTAGGCTGATTGTGTATAACTCTGAGAAGCAACACTATCTTGCCCTATTTATGTTTCTTTTTCCTTGTAGAAAGCTCAGAACACCAAAATACCTGTTCAACCCACCAAAACAAATGTCAACAAACAACTGAAACCTACTGCTTCTGTGAAACCAGTACAGATGGAAGTGTTGGCTCCAAAGGTAGGATGTTCTCTCTTTACAAACGTACGAAGTAGCTGGTTTTTGGCTAGACTGAGAGGGTGCCTTTATCATCACTGCAACTTGTTTTTTTTTTTAAAGATTTTATTTGTTTATTTGAGAGAGAGAGAGAGCATGAACAGGGAGAGTGGCAGGAGAGAGAGAAGGAGAAGCAGACTCCCCACTGAGCAGGGAGCCCAATGCGGGGCTCAATCCCAGGGCCCTGGGATCATGACCTGAGCCGAAGGCAGACGCTTAACCAGCTGAGCCACCCAGGCGCCCCAATCACAGCAACTTTTGAAGAACATTCATAACTAGAGCTGTACTTTGAATTTGTGTACAAATTGAACATACACATCCTTTTAGTGATGGTACTTACTATAATGTTTTGACCTTGAATAACAAAGTTAATTACCTTGATAGTCAAATAAATTTAGTGATCTCAAAGTGAAATTTGGTCAGTTTTATAATCCATTATAAGAATGAGCTTGCCCATGAGGCTGTGAAATCTCACAGTTCTGAGACTCGTACTCATCATATAGGAATAAGGTAATACCAAAATTTTGTGTTGATAAATTGTGGTCTCTGTGACTGGTTAACTCAGTTGGAGTTAGAATGCTAATGGACCCATTGGCCTGTAATTACTATAGGACAGGCGCTGTTGTAGGTGCTGAGAATACAACAATCACTGCTTTGCTCTTTCCAGCGCCCGACTTGGGTGCTCTCTCTCTCTCTCTCTTTCTCTCTATAATATACATTAATAACATGTCTATAACTTGTTTAAAATTTTTCAAAATAATACATTGGATATATTCAAGAAATATATATATTGAGCACTTACTATGCCCATCGGGTAGTGTTAAGGCTGTTAAAGAGATATCTTGCCTTGAGGAGACTTATCCAGAAGGGGCACATGCACCTGAAATTAAATTAGTAGTCCCAGGGAATGATGCCAGATGCCCCTGGACAATGGATGATTGAGCTTCAAATGTCTAGGGTAGATGGAAGCACCATCCTTCAGAAAGTGTTTCTACAGGAGGGAGAGAACACTAAGGGATGGAGTGGTCAGGGGAAACTTCATGGAATCAGTGGGAATTTTAAGGATAGAGAGATGCTGATAGGAAAGAACACTTTTTTGGGGGGAACAAAGCACAGTAGGAATCAAGACACCAAAGCAGAAAGAGACCTATGATCTTGTCCTTGGGCTAAGGAGTCAGCACATCTAAGCTGGGTCAGAAGGTTTGTGGGAATAAGCAAAACATAAAGTTGGGGAAAAGGTTGCAGTTGGATTTGAAGGCCTTGGAATTTGGATTTTATCCCATCAGGCAGTGATAAACCTGTGGAAAGTTTTGAGGAGGTGGGAAATGATGAAAGCAGTGTAGGCTGGCCATGGGAGGGACCTAAATGAGGAGGCATTGCAATTGTCACGCAAGAGCTGATGAGGGTCTTGAACTAGCCTGGATCTCCCCTAAGCACTCACCCACATACCACTACCTACAGGGTGCTAAGAAACCACATGGAATGTGTTGGGGTATACCAACTGGTTCCAGGGACATCGTCCTATATTTAGAAGGAATTCTTGGCTGTGTTGTTTGCAGAGGAATAATAAGAGCCTTAAGCAAGCACTTGAGTATTTAAGAAACCATTTATGCAATAAGTTAGTAAAGAAATGGGAAAGTCAGGGAAGGGAGGTAGTTCTGGGGAAGGCACCTCATTTGGCTTTAGATTTGTTGAGGTAACAGAGAAACCTCCATGGGGAAAGGCACTCAGAAATATGCCCTCAGCATCTGAAGGAGGGGGGCAGACATGGGAGCCTTCTGCTTGCAGGTGATGGTTGCAAGCATGTTGCTTTTCCTAAGGCAGGACAGAGCGCGTCAAATCAAGAACAAAAGCCAGAACAAATCCTAAAGATCGACCTTACTTTCATAGGCCTTTCCTTGGAGGTTTCTAGTGCCTAAATGCCAAACCAAAGCAGCTTTTCAGCTTTGACCTCTTAACCATTATGTAGCATTTGATACGGGTGACTGTTTGAATGTGGTTCCTCCCACATGTCTGGAAGGCGATTTGGCAGTGTCTTTCAAAAGGTTATTCTCCATACCCAGTAAATCTGTTTTTATCCTAAGAAAATTATTAGAGGCACACCAAGGATTTTTAAATAGTGCTGTAATGAATATCTCTTATGTAATAGAGAAATATTAGAAGATTGGTTAAATCTATCTGTTTAAGTTCAAGTATAATTAACATACAGTATTACATTAGTTTCAGGTGTACAATATAGTGATTCAACAACCCTATACATGACTCATTGCTCACCATGATAAGTATACTCTTAATCCCCTTCACCTAGTTCACCCGTTCCCTCTACCCAACTCCCCTATGGCAACCACCAGTTTTTTTTCTATATTTAAGAGCCGGTTTGGTTTGGTTGGCTTGGTTTGTCTCTTTTTTCCTTTTCTTTCCTTTTTTTTTTTTTTTAAGTTTGTTTATGTATGAAATCTCTACACCCAACATGGGACTCAAACTCACAACCCTGAAATCAAGAGTCACATGCTTTTCTGACTGAGCCAGCCAGGTACCCCTGTCTTTTCTTTTTTCCTTTGTTCATTTGTTTTGTTTCTTAAAATCCGCATATGAGTGAAATCATATGGTATTTGTCTCACTTAGCATTAGACCCTCTAGATCAAATCACGTTGTTGCAAATGGCAAGATTTCATTCTTTTTTAGGGGCTGAGTAATATTCCATTGTATATATACCGTATCTTCTTTATATTCATCTGTGGATGGATGCTTGGGTTGCTTCCATATCTTGGCTATTGTAAATAATGTTGCAGTAAACACAGGGGAGCATATATCTTCTCAAATTAGTGTTTTCGTCTTCTTTGGGTAGATACCCAGTGGTGGAATTACCAGAGCAGCTTAAATCCATTTAATGAAAATACATGGACCATTAATATCATGTTTTGGTAGAATATTTAAAGATGTCAAAATGTATGTTACATTAGTAGAAAAATCAGCTTATAACACAATAGAATGCAGTACAACCCCAGATTTCCTTTTTTTTAAAAATTTATTTTCCAGAGAGAGAGAGTGCGTGCATGTGGGGGGCAGGGAGGCCAGGGACGGGGTGGGAGGGGTAGACAGGGAGAGAGAGAATCTTACGCAGGCTTCGTATCCAGTGCAGAGTTTGATCTCATGACCCTGAGATCACAACCTGAGCCAAAATCAAGAGTTGGATGCTTAACTGACTGAGCCACCCAGGTGCCCCAGATTTGCTTTTAAATGTGTGCAAAGTGTGTTTTTTTTTTGATGGGGAGAGGGGCAGAGGGAGAGAGAATCTTAAGCAGGTTCCATGCCCATCACGGAGCTTGATCTCACAACCCTGAGATCATGACCTGGCCGAAATCAAGAGTTGGATGCTTAACCGACTGAGCCACCCAGATTTTGGGGCACCTGGGTGGCTCAATCTTTAGGTGTCTGCCTTTGGCTCAGGTCATGATCCTGGGGTCCTGGGATCAAACCCCGCATCAGGCTCCCTGCTCCGCGGGAGGCCTGCTTCTCCCTCTCCCACTCCCCCTGCTTGTGTTCCCTCTCTCGCTGTCTGTCTATGTCAAATAAACAAATAAAATCTTTAAAAAAATAAAAATTTTTCAGATTTTTTTCACCTTAGGTACATATTACTTTTCTAAAAAGAAAAACAACAAAAAATGTTATGAACAAAACAAAGGAGAAATGTCCTCCTGTGACTTCTGCATCTCCACTCTTTCTGAATTACTCTACCTTTCCTTGGTGACTCCTTTTGCCTTAGCTTCCTGACAAATTTGAGGCCACTGTGTTTCAGATAAAGAATGATGGACCTGTAACTCCATTCATATAAGTATCACTTCCGTGGCTGAAATGTGCTGCTAGTTTTAGAAGACATCAGGGATTAATGAACAATAATTACTTCCAATTCAAATACACTTTTCTCTGAGAAACATAGTACAGAAGAGATCATTAAGTGCCCAGTTTAGGGGGAGCTCCTCCTCCTGGCAGACGAGCCCCTCTGCTTGCCTGGATCTGGTCAGCCATCTGGCTTTTACTTTGTCATCTGCTCTATCTGCAGTCATTGCTGCTCCTTTATAGCTGGTCCCTGGGGATGTGGCAATGCCCGTTGAGCACAGGGTTCTAGCAGCAGTGAGCCCTGGAAAATTTATAAGCCATGTGCTCATGAAAGCAGATGTTCCCAGCCAAATCCATTACTATACTCTGCAAAACCAGAGTTTGCAGCTGAATCACAAAGGGCTCTGGCTGAGAATTTGAAAGGGTTTCAGCCATTCACAGGTGTTTACAGAAGCGGATTATCCTGCCATTTTTAGAGGAACCAGTGTTTTTGTTGTTATTTATTTTTTTGCTGACCAGTGAGGCTTTGGCAAACACTGAGTTGTATGTGAAAGGAAGGAGAAGGTTTTTTCCTAGCCCCCTGGTTTGCTGGGCACTGGAGAAATCAGGTGAATGAGCCACCCACTCTGTCCTCAAGGAGCCCCCAGCCAAGTGCAGAAATGCCCGAGCACGCGTTCTAATAGGCTGTGGCAGAGAGAGATGCACACTTCGGAGAGGTGCTGGGAGTCAGAGCTAGAAATTCAGATGAAGTTTTAGATTTAGAGATTTAATCTAAACACTAAATGCAGTGACAGTTGTGGGACTCTCTGATCAGATGGGGGGCCACCAAATGTGGGGTGCCAATTGGGTGGGGGCCAGCGGTGTGGGTGGTGAAAGGATTCACCCACGGCAGAACAAAAGAGAGCGATGGTTACTGACCAGGGAGCTGTGGGCCAGACAGCAATGGAGAGACTGTCTGCCAGAAGGGGGTGATGAGGGGCCACAGGTACAGGGTGGAACGAGGGAGGATGGGAATGTATGGAATTTTCCCGTTTCTGGTAATCTTCGGAATCTGTGCCTACGGCTCTTCCAGGTGGTTTGCTTAATGAGCCTGTTGGCATTCAGCTCGGTGGTCGCTGTGGGCCCCAAGTTCCACTGCTCAAGCCTGTTGCCTAAAAATGCCTCTACAGTAGTCATTCAACCACGAGGATGTTTTATGGTTAACTATCCCTAATACAAAAACTATGTATAAAGGGGAAGTAAGCACAACTTTTCACGTTTTTTTTTTTTAAAAAGAGTGCCTTTTATTTTTAATCACACAAGAAACCCAGTCATAACAAAGCAAAATACTACAGAAATATATCAAGTACATAGAATAGAAAGTCAGTTTATTTTTACTACTCTCCTTACCCTCCAAATTCCATTTCACTGTATTCCCTAAAGCTATTCCAGTAAATGATTTTGCCTTTCTGTAATTGTGTGTGCCTATGTTTGCGCAAGTACACACTTAACTGCTACACATCATGAACTGTCTAATTGGAAACAACAGTTTTTCTGGGAGTCCTTTCTTGTTGCACTTAATTGACATTGTTTATTATAAATCTGGTAAATAAAGGAACTCTGGTTACCAAAAACTTGCACAAACACCTACATGTTTGCATATTAATAGTAGTACATTCTCTCACCAAACTCAGCTCAGACCCCGCCCTGCTCCTTACCAAACTGGAGCTTCTGAAGCTCAGCAAAAACTCACATTTATTGTTTCTGATATGACTTTTCACTTGTCTCTGACAACTGACAGAACTCATTCATTAATCTAATTGGAAGGTTTTTATTCTCAGACCACTTTGTCATCCACAAGTTTGTGATGGTTAACTAGCTGAGAAAACTTTTAGCTTTGCATGCAACAGACACTGGACAGAGTATTACACAGTGGGCCCGAAGGGCTTAGGCTACTACCTGCACAGACAGTGGGATCTCAGGAAGGATTTTATAATAATTAAATTATGTTGGAGCCCAAGAGGAATGCTTTTAAGAAATTGTAAAATAAGGGCCAGAGCAATGACCCATGTGTTCTCCTGATAGCTTCGGGCTATGGCTAACCTCAGGCGTACCTCTGGATAGACACGGGTAAGCATTTCAAGCTGCTCAGGCAGCACGCATAGCACATGACCGTAACCTCTGCCTCCTTAAACAGGCTTCCCACTACTGACTGCATTTCCCGGGGACACTGATGATGCTTATCCTTGAACTTAACCTAGCTGTATGTGCTCATTAAAATATACATCTGATTCTAGTCACTCTTTTTTTAAAAAGATTCTATTTTTGGGGCGCCTGGGTGGCTCAGTCGTTGAACGTCTGCCTTCGGCTCAGGTCATGATCCCAGGGTCCTGGGATCGAGCCCCGCATCGGGCTCCCTGCTCCGCGGGAAGCCTGCTTCTCCCTCTCCCACTCC